TATTGTAACCCTGCTGATATATGGACATTTTCTATTTTCCGCATGGATATATCAGCATTTATTGTATCCAACTTTTGCTGTAATGATAGGTTTAAGACTCTTTTGCATGTTTTTAATAAAATACGTTTTAATTTTAGCTCATTCTTCATTTATCGTCACCTAATGCTTTTTAAGATTATGGGTCATTGGAAATCTCATTATTTTGGTATATTTGTGCTTATTTCAAAAAGTTTTGGTTCGATTCTGCTTTGCTTATTGCTGAGGACAATTCAAACAGTTAATATAGTGGTCCTCAATATATTAAACTGGTTATATAAATATTTTGTTTTAGGTCATCGTCCTACATAATGAAGATTTAGTGTGGTTTACACTAAAGGATTTACGGATTTGTAAGGTAAGAATCATAATATTTTGACAGGGATTACTACCGATTTGGGGTTGGTTCGATGAAAAAAAGTTAAGAATCCTTATGAAAACAGACGGCATATTAAAGGCAGAACCTTAGATTGATCCTTTAAGGGATTCTTATCTCCATATCCAGGAAGTCTTAGGGTGTGAACCACACTAAACTATCAGTATGCAAGACGGTGGCCATAAGCAAAAGGTTTATATAACCACATAGGGACTTGAGAAGCACGGTATTAAGTGTTTGGATTGGCCCCAACAATTATCGAGACGGAACCGAACCGAAAATGTTTAGAATATGCCAAAATTTAACATAATATGTGATCTACAGTGCCACAAAATCTGGAAAAGCTATAGAAGACTATGAATGAAGAATGAGTTAAATTTGATAAATATTTTTTATGGAATTTCATTTAAAACATGCAAAAGAGACTTAATCCTATCATTAAGGCAAAAGTTGGTTCCAATAAATGCTGATATATCCATGCGGAAAATGGAAAATTTCCAGATTACATTTTTCACTCCTTTTCTACGAAAATCAAATTTAATTTCATAATTTATGTCTTAGTTAATTGTTCAGAATGTAATATATTTAAAATATGAAGAATGAAATTATTATCTTGGTGGAAAAATTTTTTATACTAAAAATATTATAATTTTGTGTTTTTGTGAACAGTTGTGGACTGTACAAGTCAACAATAATGCGACAATTTGCAAAAAAAAAATTTCGTGTGCTTTTGATGCACACACGATATTTTTTTTAACAAATTGTCGCATTATTGTTGTCTTCAGACTGTTTTCTTTTGCGAATAAGCCAAAAAATAGATAAATAACGTAGTATGTTAGAAAAAAATTATTAAAAAATCAGCTATTAGGTATTGCGCTAATTTGTGTCTTCCAAGTGGTACCTATTATTATATTTTAATCTAATAATCTATTATTTTTTGCAAATAACCATTTTAACAAAACAGTGAACCTATTAAGTCATAATTTGACAACACTGATTAAATCCAATAGTGAGTAAAAAATTAATATCAAAAAATATTGCTCCATTTTTTATATGTTATAGCTTTAAGTCTGATATATAACATGTATATATTTCAGCTGCACCTAGATATTTGCCAAATTTTTTGTGGACTTTTCTAAGTGTTAATATCTGTTCGGATTCGTGATATGACTGTGGATTGTTTTCAAAGACTGTAAAACATTTACTGTGATATGCAAAATTACACAAATAAGAAATTTAAGTAGGATTTCGCCGATTATTTGATATCCTGCAACACATATTTTTAGAAGGCCCATTAGGACCTGCCAGAATTTGGTATACTTATTACGAAACTATGTGGAAACTATTTTATGGCAATATAACTATTAATATCAGATTTATAAGCATTATATTGACTTTCCGATGAACCCCTCATGGAGCTCAATTTAGCACTGAAGTGTAAAGAATATATTATTTTTTGAACTGTTGAAGTGTTATGTGTAAGTTATCCTTATATTCATTCATCTGCAATGATTCCTATTTTTGGCCAATTTTTATCTATATGAAATAAAAACACTTAGTTAAGGCCAAGGACACTCACACTCATCGGAATTTCCAACATATAAAATTGTATACAAATAGTCACCCTTAAACCATAGAAAATAATTAGAACAGGTCGACCACTCCATACAAATAACCACACGTAAATCATACAAAAAAAAAAAATAGAACAGAAGAGTCAAAATTCAGGTCCAATCAATTTTTTTATACATATATTTCTTCGGATTTGATGTATGTCCTATCAACCTAACCTATACATATAAATATATTAGCTATGAAAAATTATCAAAATTGAAAAATTTTTGAAAATTAAGAAAATGGAGATTTTTTAAGAAGTCTCTTCGATTTCAAATAGTGTTATTACATAATACTTAAGGTGGTATTAGACGACATGTATTTTAAATATGTACTGTCACTCTTTTATCCATATCTAATTCCGAATGTATGTCAAAATTGTCATTTTAAATACGATTAATTTTTGCTATCACACCTGCCTATGTTTTTCAGTATGACTATATAGTAAATGCAATCAAAACTGTTTTTTAATGTGTATAAATTGTTAAAATTATAAATTAGTTTATTAAAAATTTAAAAATACTTACTTTTTCATGTTCTTCAATTTATTTTTTTCAAAAAAAAATTATTTCAAAACAAAACAGCTCTTTTGTTTATGTTTGTCACACGAAAATAGAGCACGCTCTAATCGAAAATATTACATATCGTCACCTAAAACGCAAACGGCAATATCTAACATTTTTAACATTTTACAGAAGAAGCAAAAAACTTTTTAAAGTGAAAATTTTATTTCTATCAGTGCGATTTAGTTTTATTAAACAAACAACATTTTTATTAGTGAAACTTATAATTTGTTATGATAGTTACCTGTATAAAAATGGATAAATTGAACTTTTAACCTTTAATATTTAAATGTTTTTCTAGATAGGGCCTTTTGTTTTTTGTCAATAAAATCGCAAATTTTGGTCGGAGGAGTCCCATTTTTTGTGTGACGATATGTACAACTTTTACAGATGGAAATTTTGACAGTACATACTTATGTACGTCGTGTGATAACACCTTTAGGGTTGCCTGGAATTTGTCACCAAAAAACTTCAATATTTCTATAATGAATTCCGTTATTTTTGTTAATTTTCATTTCAACATTTGAGCTTCGGCATTCCTTTATATACAAATATACAAATTAAATCGTTGGGACACATGTGCACCAAATGCCTCAAATAAATCCAATGCCTAATGAATTTGCGAAGGATATCATCCCTTTAAACATGTAGTGCTATCAAATTCAAAATAAGCTTGAAGTAGCTCTAAAATCAAATCATTGCACACCCTATATGCCTCAAATAATTAACAGCTCAAATTACAATACCGAATGAAGTTTTATTTTAGAGGAACGCAACATTGCTTCCTTTTAAATTTATTTTTTGTATTTATTTTTTAAAACTTTGAATTTTAGAGTATAGTTTTCCTAAGTAAGTAGAGAGAAAATGTATTTTTTCTATTGCCAATTCTAAACTCATTTAAAAAGATATTTAGTTAGTATCGGTTACCAATTTCGATTAAAATAGATATCCACACTCATTATCCCTATTTACTCACACACCCTCATATATATAACGGCCAGAAATATAAATCAAGGAGGATCACAAATTGTAAACTTGGAAATCTCGACCTCTTGTTAACGGTCTCTGCTGAATGAGTTTAATTACATTTTAAAAATAAATTGTTTAACATTAAAAATTTTACTTTTTGTTTATTTTTGGTTCACCAATTTCTAATTATTTTATCTTTAATATTAAAAATACACATTTGCATCCGTTCTTTATTCTCTTAGTTGCTAAGAAAAAAAATAAGCTTTTTCAACTTTTAATGTCTATTAGTAAGTGCAGTGATTTTCGCTTCAAACATTTTTGAGTAATTCAAAAACTTTGTTGTAATTATTTTGGTTTCCCCATATATTCCCTTAATTCATTTACCGACGCAAGGAAGGGGGAGATGAGCAAGAAAGCGAGAGAAAGGAAAGGAACAGACAGACAGACAGACAGACAGACAGACAGACAGACAGACAGACAGACAGACAGACAGACAGACAGACAGACAGACAGACAGCAGACAGCAGACAGACAGACAGACAGACAGACAGACAGACAGGACAGACAAGACAGACAGACAGACAGACAGACAGACAGACAGACAGACAGACATACGACAGACAGACAGACAGACAGACAGACAGACAGACAGACAGACAGACAGACAGACGACAGAGAAACAGACAGACAGACAGACAGACAGACAGACAGACAGACAGACATACAGACAGACATACAGACATACAGACATACAGAAACATACCATACAGACAGACATACATAGACAGACATACATACAGACAGACATACAGACATACATACATACATACATACATACATACATACATACAAAATTTTTATATTTTTCCGTATGATTTGAAGGAGTTGTATTTATGTTATTTTAAAAAAGGTGGCTTCCATTTACGAGCCTCTTGATGTGGGGGGGGGGGGAGTAACGCAAACTCAATTAAACTTTGAATTTAACAGACATTTCAATTGTGTAAGGATCATTTAAGCGAAAACTACTGTAGATGTGTTAACACGCTCATATCGCTCATTTACTACAATACTGACACAACTCAAAAGCACTGTTACGAGAAATACGGTGTTATTTCGAAAAAGTAAATAAATAACTTAAACAAAACATGGGATTTAAACAATAATAGTAGAGCATAATATGTTTCTCTTACCGAAAATAATAGAAAAGAGATAAAACTATATGAAAGACCCGGATTTCGAATAAAGCCAGTCTTGTAGTAAATGAGCGTTAGGTACTTGTAAAGGCAATAATATATTCATATATAAAAAACGTTCACCTATGCCCCAAGTCCTTTTAAAGGAATGGGGAAGGGGGTGTTTTGAATATTGTTTGATTGTGTGTTAATAAATTGTTTGCTGTTGTTTTTTCTTAACATGGAGATGTCGTTGACAAAAATACTCACAAATGAAATTTTTCATTCCACACAGGATTTAATTCCTGGGGCATGGTACGAGTACGCTTTTTCACCTTGCTAACCTGCACCGTCACATATGGATCACTGGTACCGCTTTTATCCTTCGCTATCAGGCCTTGAGCACATATCACTGCGCAGGTTTTAAATAATGATTTAATTTTTTGTTTAGCAATTAATAATGTATATTTAAGTGATGGTTCGCATATATATTTTTATTATTATGAATTTTGATCAGCGCCAGCGTAGGTTCGTCGATGTTCGTTTCAATATTATCAAAGGTTAAGTTTGTTGCATGTTTATGCATGAGTGCATTACAGTTTACGGTAAATAAAACAAAAAGGAGAACATTTACATAATAATAAGAGTAATAACAATTAATAGCGTAAATTAATAGTAAAAATGGTGTTAGTAAGGACACATTTATTACATACAAAATATGTGTTTATGTATATTAGAGTTGTGAATGCGTGTGAGAACGGAAATGGATCAGAAAACATTGTACGTTTTTTTGTTTTGCGTTTTTGTAAGTAAATGAAACAAAAAAGCACAATGAAAAGCATAATAGATAGAAAATGTTAAACAGTTTGATAAATAGAGAGCGAGAGTAATGCAGGAGAAGGAATTAGTAATATCGTAAGGTGTTCGTAAAGAATTTTTTAAAATGCAACATAAAAATGCGTTTGTAAATTTAGATAACATATTAAATCGTGGAAATCAATGAATGGGGTAAGAGTGTTTTTGTACATAATATTATTGTATTTATCCATATCCAAATAGAGTATAAATTGTTCTCGAATGAAGGTGGCGAGAGGGGTGTGTAGTGTAGAGTGTTTAACATAGTTATGTTTTTTTAAATCAATCAAAGTTAAAATTGATTTTTTGACATATTTTGTTGAATAATATGAAACGAACGGAACCATATAGTTTATTGTTAATATACATATTTTTGTTTCAAGGAAGAAAGAAGAAGAGAAAAAAACGGAATATTTTTTAAATTAAATGCATTTTTTTTAATTTTTGTTAATTTTATTAAACACATATATACAAATAACAACACAAATAGTTGCGAACGTTTAGTATTAAAAAAGGATATATTAAAAGGATAACAAATAAAAAAAATGATAAAAGAATAATTAAACAAACAAACGAACGAAAAAACCAGCCCAACACCAGCGAAGCTTCCAGAATCGAATAGGACTTTTAATATGACTTCGGCAATGCAAAACTAATTATTAATTTTAGTTATATGTATATGGCTTTACATACATACATACATTTTTTTTATAATATTGAGTGTGCAAATATTAGTTCGATCCAAAAAAACAAGTAGATTGACCACCTACATTAGCAATGAGTAAAGTTAATAGACTTTGAATTTAGTACCACGATTTATTCCAAATTGGATATGTAGTAAGAATGTTTAAGTCTTAAATTAAATTTCGGACTTAATATGGGGCTGGGTCCTATTATGGATCAATTCACACAGAATTTGTTAAAGTAATTATTGTTGTTTTGAAGCTTTATCACAACGTCTATATTAATATAAGTACGAAAATCAATCTATCAAATTTGACAAAGTGAATAATTAAATTGAGGTACTCCATTATCAAAAAATTGCTCGGTAATCCCCATAATGTACGTAGTTAGGAATGTATCCATCAAATATAAATATCTTCCAAAATAACTGCATAAGGTAGCAGGAGAAACACGTTACATTTCTATTCATCCTAATTATAAAACATCTTCAGAAGAAAAGCTTTTTAAATAAAAATAAATAAGAGATCAAAACATTAAAGAACTTATTATGGACATGTCAATAGAATCTCATTCAATTAAAAATCTCTTAGAGTGGTTATGTTTTTTGCCTAGTCTATAATTTTTTATATAGTAATATATTTTATAAAACACCAAATATATGTACATATGTGCATGCTTCAAGAAAATTTTTAGTAAATTTATCATATTATTATGACATCTTAAAAGAATTTAAAATTTATTTGACTTAAATAAATTTATCTAATCCTAACTATAAGCATTTATCAAAAACACAGCATCTGAGTGTTTAAAAAGTAAAATTTTACATATTTTCGAGCCTTTAAGAAATTAAAATTTAACATTCCTCTAAATCGCTTTGTTGGGCTGTGTAGCTAAGAAATATATTTACTAATAACAATTTAGAAAAATTTCAAGAAATTTTACTGAAAATCAAAAAGTAACAATAATTTTGTGCACTGTTAGATAGAAATTTAACTCAACATTAATATTGCAAAAATAAAAATTGAAAAGAAAAATAGAAAATGTAGTTAGTTTTAATTTGATTTGTCTCATTTGTTTATAACTCACAAAATTAATACTTCTCTAAGAAATTGTCAAACTTTTTTTGTTTTATTGTTTATTATTATTATTTTGTTAAATTTGAAACCAATCCTTAAATTACAAGAAAAACATAAATATACATTTAAATGAAAAAAGTAACGATTTATAAACATATAAATAAAAAGGTTTGCAAGTATTTGTTTTAAATTTAAATATATACACACACGTAAATACATACATATATTCACATGACAGCAAGAATGTGTAATTAGTGGTGGTGATTTGTTTGGTGTTTGGGAGGTGTTAAAACATGTATAAGTTTTATAAAATTGTGTTCTTTTTATATAATTAAGCCGAATTAAATAAAAAATTTTAAATCTTACATTTCAAAAATTTTACATGAACCAAAGTAAATATATTATATAATCTCCACTAATAGTTCAAATTATCATTACTTATACATACATATGTACGTATGTATGTGTAATCATATATCTGAGGCCCCATTGAAATCCTAAAGGTCGATTATACATAAATTTTTTAAACATTGTATGTATTAATTTTTTTATATGGATTCATTGCAGTTACAAAAGTTAAATCTTTAATTAGAAAACGTTAAATGCTTTTGAATGAGTGCTACATAAACTATCCATACATTTATAAATAACTAACTTGAAGAATTCTCATTATTATGGAAAGTATATAATTGTCCTGATTCGCTCAAAATCGGCAAATATTTTTATATATGTAATTTTAAAGCATTGATAGTGAGATTGATTGATGTTTAAATATTTTTGTACTATTTAGTTGGTAAGGGAATTCTTACTTTAACAGCTGACCGTTTTAGTTAATAATTTATATGCCAATAATAACCAATTAAATGTTAACATCGAATTAATGGACACGCTTAAAGCAAATTTAATTACTATGTTTAGATGTGAAGTTAGTTCGTTAGTGGAGAGAATATAAACACATTCGACACAGCCGAACAGTGAATTTCATTTATCTTTCCGTACACAAGGTTTCAGTGACAATTTCAAACATTAGCTGGTGAGATGCATACAATTATGTTATACAACATATATTCTATAGATTTAGTTATTGTATTCTAAGAAATTCATTCATTTTTATTTATAACACAAATATTTGTGCAAGAATAATTTAGTTTTTTTAATTGAAATATTTTTTACATGTTTTATTAGATACCTAATTTTATCTGCTACTCCATATTTAATATACATATATGTACATATACATATAATGTTTAAAAAACTATATTTTTCCATTATATGCCCTAAACTATAGAAGATGAATATATATTATAAAATTGTACGCTTTTCATCAGCATTCCTGGTCTCTGGAGTTTTTAATAAATTCGCCAAGAATAATTCAAGTTATGAAATATTAAATGTAAGTTTCCCCTAACTGCATCAAAACATAGATTCTGAATTTCGGAAATGCGAATTAATTTTTAATAAACATACAATTATGTATGTGATTTAAAAAATCATAAATTTTTGCAAATGTTGTATTTATTAATAGCTAAACTGACATTACTTTCCAGCAAAAACCCAGAAATCATACAATTAAACACTTTCCTTAGTAAAGTTAATTGTTTTCAGTCAAATAAATTTGTAAGTAAAGTTTAAACTATTTAATTGCGTTAGAACAAGGGTTACAGGACCGAAAATGCATTCATTAGAATCCCGAATAGTATTCTTAATACATAATAGAAATTTAACAAATCAAAAACAGAATAACAACCAGTATATTCGACTATGCCGAATCTTATATATAAACATTAGGTTGATATTTGACTTATGTCAATTATGGACACATACACACTCATAAAATTCGGTAGATAGATTTTTGATAGTGAGAAACTTACTAATATCGAATTTCAGCTCTATTCTAGTATTTTTAAGCCATTAATGGGCGTTAAAGGCATTTTATGAAGGGGACCATATTGAGGGGTAGGGTCATTTATGAGCCGGTCCTCATACAATTTGGTAGAGAGAATTTGGCTGATATTAAACTTATTTATGTCGAATTCCATAGCTATATTAGCATTTTTAAAACAGTTATGACGGTTAAAGCAGTTTTTTGGGGGCCACGTTTTAGAATTTAATAAGAACCAAGAATATATATACTTTTTGGTCTATTATCAATATTTCAATGTATTACGAACGGAACAACAAAATCAATATACCCCCATCTTTTTTGATGGTGGGTATAAAAAGAAAATATTATTTGTGTGGTATTAACGGAATAACAGTCACGACATCGCGGGTTTGAAAAATTTATTTTCTAAGTAATTTTACAGCAAAACAACTTATTTCCGGTCAAAAATAAAACATTACTTTTGGGACATCTCGACCAAAAATAAGTTGTTTTTCTAGAAGAATTGTAAGTAGTATTTTGTTCGACTTTTCTGGTGATTTTGTAAGTAAAGTTTTTGCTGGGTATGTAATCATTTTATATAAAAGGAATTTTTCTGCCTAAAGCTTAAGCCACCGGCGATGTTAAGGAGTTTAACAGAATCGGGTTTGAAATAGTTTTGTTTTATATGAAGTTTGAGAACTTCGATATTAATTTTCATCGGAGCGAACTGCGATTTGCAATTTTGAAGTTTAAAAAGCTTAAAATCAGATTCAAGACGATTTGATTGACCAGCGGACCTATTCTCTAACCCGCCGTTTTGGGTACAACCACAGGCACCACATGCACACCAAAGGGTCTTCTTTAATAGCCGGTACATATGTATGTACGTTCCTGTCAAACTCCATATAAAAATAAAATAATATTCGTCTGGCT